GAGAGAGAGAGAGGAGGGAGAGAGAGGGACTTATGTTTGCGGATACAATCCTCACTTTGTTCTACTTTGGTCGAGAAAGCTCCTGCCTTTGTTCTGCTGGTACTCCTTCAACTTTGTGTGCGCTGCCTTCAGTGCTGCACCGGAAGCGCCCGTCATCTCGGACCCAAAGTATCGGGCCTTGCAGGTGCCAGTGTCACACACACGAGAGTCTCCTGGCTGAAGACGAAGGAAGCCACTCCCGAACCTGGACTGCAGAAGCCTGGGGGAATATGCATGGCTGCTGAATATTCGAAAGTTGCTCCAGGAATTGTGCTTCGCTAGCCTGTTCCTGTCTTCAAGGGACGCCAACACTTCCTCGAGACTGAATTTCGTGGTTGACAGGCCAGAGGATAGAAAGTAAACGTGCGAATAAATGGAATCCATCGACCACTGGAACGCTGCTGCGTGCTCCCACAGCTCACCAACCAGCGTGAGGCGGTCGTACCACAAGTCTCCCAGCAGCGCGGTGAGAGCCTGTACAACCATGTTCTGTTTTGGGCATTGATGGAGTCAAGCGAGAACTAGGGCAGGGGTTAACTTAAACCTGAACCTTCTTAGATTCTTATAATACCAGCCTATAGATTGGCCACTCGGGCAGCGATCTTGAATTGAAGCCCTCACTCATACCGGACGGAAACCAAAACATTCCCAGGGCCCTATTATAACAAACAACCCCAGTTCTACGCAGACAATAACCGTCAATAAGCCGAAGTTAAACCTGAACCTTCGTCTTGACGCTATTACTTTCCAACCTGTAGATTTGGCCAATCCTGGCCATTCTGGCTGAGATCTCTCTGAAACCCTAATTTTTCTAAGCCCCCAGAAGCCAAGCAAAATGCTTTACATGCAACACTGACACACACAATAAACTTTAAGCCGAAACCCGGCAATGAAACGTTTAGTCGAAACGTTAAAGAGCTAGGCCTCCCTTTCCGGGTGTCCACTGTCGGCAGCTGCAGCTCTCGCGGAACGGATCACGCCAGCAGTGCGCTTGGCACTGGCCAAGGCATCAAAAGCTTCCTCTGCGTTGTTGCTGAGGATGCCTGCAAGCTGCTCGGGTGGCAAGTCGTACAGCAGCGAGCACCAAGTTCGGACTGCCGCCAAGGAAACCACAAGCCGAAAGAAAACATCTGCTCGGGCAACATCTTGAGGGCTCCGGATCTTGATGTTTCGCAGGACATCTATCCTGTTGAGCATCTGTAGAAGCTCACGCACGTCTCGAATCCAGCAGCGGTTCGCCCGGTCGGCTTGCCACTGAACTGCTGTCTCCACTTGCTCGAGCGCTTCCAGCGTTTCCAGGTGCGCCCTGAACAACGGCCTCTTGGCCCAAAAAATCCTTGGGCCAAGGAACTCTTGAAATCCCGGAAATTGATATGTCAAGTCGAAGGATAAAACGGCAGCGCCCTAACCGCCCTAACCTTCCAAATCCCTGAAATAAGGATTCTGCCTTAGACTAAATCACATTAGGGATCCTGTTACAACTTAAATTATGGTATATTCTATTCCTTACGTAAGGATTTAAGGGCTGAAAAGGGATTTCGGTACCGCCGGTCTGAGCAGATGCTGGCAGGGAGCATCTCGGCCAGTGTGTGTATGTCGCTGTTGTTGAGGACCGCGCACATGACTTGCATGTCCCCTTTTGTTTGCTCACGCAGATCGGACAGAATCCAATCTTTCGTTTTGCGCTCACGGGGCACGACTGCAGAAGCCTCACCTGGCGCGCCTGTGTGAGCCGGGTCCTCCTGATCCGGGTTTAGCGATAGTGACGACTTGGCTGCACTCGCCTTTGTCTCGGCACCACCCAGAGCACGCTGCCTGAACTTGAAGATTATTGCCAGGGCCGTCCAATGTCCTCGGAAGCTTTTCCAATTCTGGTCCCAGTTGAACCATCTTCTCAATGTCACCTGCACGACTTGCCTAAATGGCGAAATCGAAGGAAGCTGAGGTACGCTGTCGTCGTAACTCACGTGTGCATGTCGCTATGAGGAGGAAGGGATTAGGCGATGGTCTCTCGCAAGTTATGGTGTCAAGCAAGTTATGGTGTCAAGCCAGAATTAAGGATATCACAAGACAGCATTCTTTGCCCCCAAAGACAGCCTTGCCGTCCAGCCCGCTCAAGTGACGACACTCCCGGAAAGCTTTCCACACATGCTCAGGCGCCGATGACTCTGGCAGATTCAGTTCGTGGCAGAGCTTGTCGATGTTGCGCTGGAAACTTGGCTGACAAATCTCATGCCGTGAGAAGGACCGTTTTCACCGAACTGAATCTGCATTACCTCCATGATATTATATAATAATAGAAACTTAGGTGTTTGATAAGAAGCCGGGCTGTGCAGTTACATATCTTGCCCAAGCAGATCATGATGGGTCTGCAATGAAGACGAGCCACTCGTCAGATGATGCCGAGTGGATGCGACAGTACGACTCGTAGGCCGACGCAACTTCTTGAGCAAATTGTGTCCTCCCAAAGGGCTTGCGCTTGAACGACATAGTGAACGCGGTTGCGCCCACAATTCCTGAATCGAAGTAGTAACTTAGTAGGAGGGTTTTTAGACTCAGCATCTCTCTGCTCTCTCCGTCTTTAATGTCATTAACGGAGGCTGCGCAATCGTAGGCAGAGGCGTTCGTGCTAGAGGAGGTGGCTATGCTAAAAGCCCACTAGGCGTCACCCCTTGTGGAATAAGGTAGCTGCAGCGCACTACATTTCTGACTCTCTGACGTTGTGAGAGATGACTGCAAGATTTACGGTGTTATCCCTGCAGGTGGGCCACCCCAGAGCCCGGCCCGTTTGACCGCCATCTCGGCTTGATTGGCATCCATATGTGGCGGCTCACGGCGACGACAGCCACGAAGGCCAAGACCGTAGTAGAGAAGGTTGAACGCAAGCGTCCTGGGCGAAGCCACGTGGATGGGCAGGACTGGGGTGTAATGAAATGACTCCATTGAAAAAAAAACCGATGCTAATGTTGCCAATGAAGGGCTGCTGGCCCTCGTTGTCGGCAAGTATCGTGAGTACGGGTCTGCTGAGGAGGTCATTCTGGTCTCTCGGGTGAGTGTCAGGTTCGGAGTTTGGTAAGAAAGAGTCCAAAGTCTTCTGCACTGCATTGAGGGAGAGCTCCAGCTCTTTCAAGTGCGAGAGTCGCTTCATCGTGTCCAGGTTCAGCGCTGCCCGCTGTCTCTTCAACGCCGACTGCGCTAGCTCCAGCTTCTCATCGTCGGGCTCGTCTAGGCCCTGAAGCGACTCGACCTGAAGCTTTGCAGAAGAATCCTGCTTTACATGTCCTGAAGTGTCTACTTAACTTTACACTCTGCGTAGTTTCTATTGATCCAATCTAATCATCGTTGATGTGATGGACACGCGAGTTCGCATGATGATTAAGCTGGTAGCTATCTATTGCATGCCGTGGCACGACTGCCGCGACACTCTCGAAGTCTTTGCAGGCCTGCACCGCTTGCTGCTTGTCGAGCTCAGACAAACCGCCAGTCAGGACAGGGAAAGCATCTGGCACCTGCAATGCTGCAAGGAGGTTTAGCGTGCCGTGACGGGATTGATATTCTATTCCACCTTCAGAGCGGCCTTCCTACTTATGCGTAACAGCATGTCACATCGAATCAACTCAACGTCAGTTGCAAACGCATGCCCCATCTACAAAGAGCAAGTGCTGAACTTTCTGCGTGCGCAGGAACGACCAGCATGTCGCTGTGGTCGCCGTCAGCTGGGACACGTGTGCTGTGCTCCGCTACGCAGTCAGTAGCGGCCCGGTGTCACTTTAATGAGTAAGTTCCTTGTCAGTCTATAACTGTTAATAGTATCACCCAGAAGCCCCTGTGTATGAGTAGTCCTAAGCAATGTCGTGTAATCGAATTCCAAGCCCGCCTAGTTGCACAATTAAGTCTGATTCCCAGCGCTTCTCATACATGTTACACTAGACACCGGCCACCAATGACTAACTCACGGCGGTCCCAACTGTTCCAGACGAGGAAGCCAGAGCAAAAACTAGGGCAATCGGAGAGTCTTAGTCTTGGTCCGATCTGAAATTCCGAAACGACTATTTGCATATAACTGCCGAACTAAACATAGCACTATAGTCTACTTGTCAAAGGACCGACTCGCATCCCCGGGCAGGCTCCGGCAGACGATGGAGATCCTTATTATAATCTCCCAAATTCCCGGTCTCAGTCATCAGCAAAACGACAGAACACCGCATCCATACTGCCAAACAGACGCCGCTCAAACCCCATCCATTCCCCCAGAACATCCATGTCCCGACCAAAATAACGTTCCCTCACAAACTCTATCCATTCCCACAGAGCATCCATGCCCGGACCATGATAACGTTCCCACAAACTAACTATATCCATTCCAACAGAGCATCCATGTCCCAAC